TAAGAAGGTGAATATATCTTAACCGGTTCTAAGATAGAAGTGAAGGGAAGAGTCCAGTCCTGTCAAAATGCATTACTGAATTACCTTGCAGTCCCTTACAACATCTTTCAGCTGCTTTCAAGATTAATTTGAGTTAACCAGCTGTACGGAGATTCTGGCGTGTTTGCTTCTGGTACTCATGCTTAATGATAGCTGTTGCTTGGTCTGTCTCTGTACATTAATTTCTCACTTGCAGGCTAGATGGTCTGTCATTATGGATTCATAGCACACTCCCCTGGGCTGCAATGGAAACTTCTCTGTAACTTTGCTGTCCAGTGGTAATCCATAGTTTCCCGTGTGTGCACTGTACTTAAATAGCTTAATTAACCTTAAAGCCTTTCATATTTATTCAAATTTCTATTTTATATTTCTTGGTATGATGGTGTGATTCTGTTACACACATCTATTTATGGTTATTATACATTGTCTCTAAAGGTATTTATACCACCAATACAAAATAACTGAATTGGTTTCAGCAAAAAAAAAATATTGCATATTTATTGCATTATTGCATAAAAAATGATGAAACGATCAATGCTGAATGAAACAAAAACAATCTGTGTAAAATATTTGCGGATTTAATTCTATACATGTATACAAATAAGTATATGCAATATGTACTGTAACTGTATACTAATTGGTATGTGTTGATCATTTTTATTTTTCTAGCAGTCTTAATTTTGTTGATCTTCCTCTGGCTTTGATAACATAGAGGAGGCTACTGATGCCTTTTAATATTCTCATTTAGGGTTATGTGACCAGTCTTCCATTTAGAATGTATCCAGCTCCTGAAGACTAACTGGTCTGTGATGGAGAGCTGCTGCTGGACTGAGGTCTGGAGATTGTGGTGGCCAATCAAGAATGCAGATGTCACGCTGCCTGGGCAATTAGATTTAGAAGTATAACTTGTATTGTTATTCTGCTGCAAAGTTCATTTGCATCCAGGATTACGTTTCGTGGCAGATAAACCATTTATTTGAATAAAAGATCCTGACTTGCTCTGGAATCCATCAGTAACGGAATTCTAACAAAGACATCAAGACCAAAAGATGCAGAGCATAGCAGAAGCAGATCCATTTATTTTCCTTACAAAAGAAATGATGGTCATTTTTCAATGTAAGCTTCACGTTTCGGTGCTAGTCATATTCCTGGGACTATTGTCCTTAATCTGACTTTGTGTTTCAGCCAGCATCATCATTCAATTGCATTTTAGTGAGTCAGTTAGTTTCTGTCTGGCATCTTTCTTATTTTATCTTCCTGGTGGAATAGCTATTCTGTCTTATTAGCCTTGAACGTATTGGCAATGCATAGTCAAAACTGGGTTTTCTTATGGATTTTACGGATTATGCTTTTTCTAAAGTCATCATTAACTTCTTGATGCTCATTCGTGATTTTTAACTCTAGCTTTTCCTAAAATGAAGTAGTATGGTATTTTCCATCTGTGTTCAGCCTTCTTTAACAACCTGTGACAGTCAATTATTTTGAATCATCTATAAAAATTCTAATGCTTGTAAACTACCAGCTCACTTAAAAGTATTAGAGGATAATACTGTTTAATGTTTTCAATTTCAGGGAATTAATAAATTTGAAAATGGCATATATAGAAAATTATGTTTTTATTATAATATTTTGTTTCATCCCATACTGTTAGTCCTGCCATTGCTAATGTTTTCATGTATTTAAGCAACAAATATTGAATGTACACTCACTATTGTTTCTGCTAAAACAAGCTTTGCTGCTGTGCCTTGTAAAAGTGTTCAGCTCTCCCCATAAAAAACCAACATCCAGCCATCCATGTTTATTTACATCTGCACTGTCTGAGGCTGCAATAATGACACATTTCTGATCTATTATTTAATATTCTCTTTTCGTATAAAGTGCCTTGCAAAAGTATTCTTTCCCCTACAGTTTCGGAATTTTGTGGTCGTCTAAGTTTGCATTCATAAAACTTTCAAACGGGACTTTATATATTTACAATCTACAGTCTACTCCACAGTAATAAAGTAAAAAAATGCTGGTAGCTAGATTTTTAAATGAAAATGAGGAGATTCTAAAGTGCGTAAGTATTCAATGCATATGATCTGTTTCTAAATCAGTTAGGGTGCAACACAATAGTTTGAAAGGTCAGACAATTAGTTTGATAGTGTAATATAAATGCCTTTTGATGTCAGATTAATGCATCTATCTCTGTAAGTTCACAGCTCACATAGTGATACAACAAATCAACAATGAAGACCAAGAAGTTTTCTGATCTAGTCAGTGGTAGTAGCAGAGAGGAATATATCAGGAAAAGGTTACTTTTCCCTTTCAGTTTGGTGAACTCCATGTATTAAGAAGCGTAATGATCATAATAACACCCACACACTCAAAGATCAGGTCAGCCTTCCCACCTGGGCAGCTGTGCAAGCAGGAGACTGCTTAGAGATGCCGCTGTGAAGCCAGCAGTGAAATGTTCTCTGTGTGAGAAGGGAGTCACTGCTCCTACATCAAGAGTTCAGCTCCTTACACACAGTTGGTCTTTATTTGTGAGGCTAGAAGCTACTGTAGTTTGGCTAAACCTGATGTAAATAACTGTGCTTTGTGCAGTTCTCTGATTTGTTTTTTGAGTATAACAAAGGTAACTTCCCAGGATATAAACAAATTAAGGATCACTGTGCAACATTATATGACATTGTACTAGTAGATAATTTCTCTGTAAGTACAGAAAGTGTAATTTAATTTAGAGAAACAGTATGGTAGGGAAAATTGACATTTTTATTTTGTGATGATTAGTTAAATATTTCCCACTCAAAACAGCTAAGGCAATTGTGTGAGGTTTGTATTAGTTCAGAGCTTCAAGCTCACAATCCCCTGGCACGCTAAACATTCTGTCACCTGGCTGTGTGATGTCAAAGTGGAAGTGAAGGGCCTTTTTGTTGAGATATTAAGTAATATGAGCTTATCATTAATTCAGGAATCTGACTGTAACTGAGTGAATATAATACAACAAGATACAAATGTAACAATTTAAAACAGAGACAGAATATTTATCAATTCTAAACTGATACAATTATAAAATGGATAAAGGTAGATAATCTAACAGGGTCAGGTTGAATTGAGTTCCCACATGCAGAATAAAGGACCATGCTAAACAATATGATAAACTCTTATTAGAAGTATAGCTGAAAATCAGAAACTGAAAGTGGGGTGAAAGGTGAGCAGGATGAACTGTACTCACGCCAATCAACCTTACAGTTAAAGAACAGAAATGGGGAAGGTTTAGTGGGTGGGTACAGCGTGAGGTTGACGAAGCAAGAGCAAGTGTATTGAATGCATATTTCTCACAGGCTTTCAGTAGGGCAGCTGGTCCTAGACCTGGCCCTGTCAGTATGTTGTCTGCTGCTTTTTCCAGCTGAGTTCTTAATAGGTTTCAGAGATTTTTTATTTGGGGTTAATTTGTAATTTTGGTGTAATCTTTTAAAAGGTCAAATGAGAACTGTAATTGGTATCAGTGCTGTACCTGATTCTGAGTTTCAACACTGTACTCATTCATTTGTGCTGACTGAAATGTAACCTCATTCTGGGAGAGTCTGTCACACACATGGCAAACTAGTTGAATAGAGGCTGCATAAAGTTCTAGGTGCTGGAATTCTTGGAAACAGTATTCATGAATATTTTTGACATTTTTAAGATAAATATACATTAAAATACAAAAAGGGTGGTACTCAGCTTGAGAAAGCAACAGTGAAAAAAGTTGGGTGTTTCTGTGGACTTCTCAAAGACAATGTGGTGACACTATAAAAAGACCAATAAAATGCTACATTGAACTGTGAAGTGTAGAATTAAATTTAAGGGAATTTTTTTAAATTAAACTAAGCAAGATCTTGACACATTTCAAAAGGGACTTTGCCTTTATAGTATCCAATAAACGTTAGGTAACAAGGTTGATTAATATCCAGTGGTAACTAAAGGGAATGCTTGTAAGACTGAGAATAGGAGACCATCTTTAAACAAAGGGCTGTGAGAGTCAGAATGAAGCAACCAAGCCTTATTGTTGAAATCAATACCATGGGTGCCTTCAAGAAGCAGCAGGATGATTTCCTTACATTGAGATCTCCATACTGTGAGCAGTAGATTGTGGAAGAGTATCACTGGGATCGTCCTGTGATTCACTGGTTTATCTGTTGTTCCTGTGCAGATGTTTTATGAATTACAGTGAGCACCTAGCCTTTTCCCCAATTTACATAACAAATAACTTCAATTAACCCTGAGGTGATATTATTGTTTCTGCACTTTCAAATATAAACTTTTTTATACACAGTCATAAACTGCTGAAGTACAGAAAGTATTATCTCAAAATATTTGACAAAGACTTGTTATTGTACTTGAATTGAGAAAAGGAGATGCATAAACTTCTTTATTTTCTCTCAATTTCATCCATTATTTTTAATGACGGCGATGAGAGGAGCATACATTTATTGTGTACTTGTATTTTTAACATATTAAATATTTTTACCAAGTGTTCTAAATACATCTTTTTAATGTTTTCTAGCATAAAACACATATTTAATTATTGCTGTAACTGTTCACCCCAAACTACCTTGTGCAAACAACAGGCAAACAGGCAAAGTGACTCCAAACTTTATATATTTATTTTTGTCCATTTAACACTGGGATATTGATGTTTAGATACAGACTTTCTGAATAAACATTTATGTAAAATAAAGATAGAATAAGTGTTTAATGCATCTGGAGATTTTGGGTATATTGACCTCTATATTTTGTATCACCAGTAAAAAAAAAAAAACAGCATTAAAACAATAAGTTCTGCACCAGAATAAACCCTCAATTATCCTCGATATGCAATATCACCCTTGGACACCACTAACTGTGAGCATCAGCCATAGAGATTGTTTTTTTTTCTTCTCTGCAACAAAAGGCAAACAAAAAACAGGAAATTAGGATTGGCTTTAACGGCGCGATAGACAGTATGCACTCCGAAAGCGGTTACTCATAAAGCAATGCAATCTCATTCTATAATTAAGTATTTAGCTGTGGAGCTTAATGTTTGCCTGTGGCGAGGCAACTGATGTGGCATCTCGGAGATGCGCGTCCCCAGTCAGGCTGCCAAAGCTTACGCTGCAGAAGAGCTCAGTCAAGAAAGCTTTGCCAGTTCAGTACTGTACTTCAGCAAGGCGTTCGGCTTTAAGAATAGAGTCTGCGCAATGGGGGCCCGAGTTTAGTGCCTGGTCTGCGGTGAAAATAAACCTGAAAAGGGAATAAAGGAGCTTCAGTCCACTAAGGAATAAAGCCGGGATCTAAGACTGGAAACCCAAAAAACAGACCGAGGGGGATATCAGGGGTTAGCCATGACGGGAATGGGAGTAAAGCGGAGGAAAGCTGGGCTTCCCGGTTTCTGTTGGAAAACCTGCTATTTTCATATTTTATTCTGGGTAGTCTCAGTCTGTGGAGAAGAGAAGACCTTCATCGTAGAGGTAGGTCAGAAGAACCGAAACGACGAGTGGAATTTCTTTCAAAGCATCGCTTTGCATGTACAAGCATTTTATTCTCCGTTTGAACCAATTCGATACTACCACTGTTGGCTAGAAATCGCACTGAAACGTGTAATTTGTGAAATAGGTTATTTACACGCAGATTTTACAGGAATCGAATACAGATTTAGCTATGAGGATATCAATGTTACAGCAAAGCAGTATTTGAGTGGAATAACAGTCGTCACATTAGTTACCATGGCTATAATTGTTAGAAGACGGAAATATATAACAATAAAAGACTGAGGTACATCATAAAATCTGTATGTGGCTGTATTTCTACAGATACAATTAAAAATGTATAGATGTACCTTTATATATTGTAAACCAGCTTATAGAACAATGGGGAACATAGGGTGTTGATTTTACTGCCGATTGTTTTTATTCAAAGATGCGTTTGTCTTGATGTATTGCTGAAAACGTTTGCCATGTCAATTGATTTGTAGTAATGAACGAAATAATGGGTCTAAATAAGTTCTTTTCACTTGATACACATTTAGTTTCGCGCATTATTCACTGTATTATTTTGATTGCATACAGTAATATTCACTTCTAAAATAAAGGATATTAATAACATCAAGATTCGGCTCTGGCGTTTGGCTCTGAAGTCTGTCTTGATGTGGTTGAATAATATACAAAAACTATACTGGCCTGGCCTTTTATTTCCTTAGAAATAGTAAAACGCGTGCTACGATTTGTGTTACTGTTTAGAATTCACCCACCTATACGAAACACGATTCACAATAACCTCCATCATTCGAGATAAATTTAACATCTCTCACCCGCCCTTCTCCCTGTGCTGTTGAATTAATTATATACATAATATTCTGAATCGTTTTTATTTTTGCAATGACAGAACACAAAATAGACAATGCCAGTGAAACACGACGACACCTGCGCCTGCTTTCATGTGTGCAGCGCAAAAATCAGAATTCTCCTGGATTCCAAATATAGCTTCTTTCATAATTTATCAAAACAGCAAAGAGACGCATGAGAGCAGAAGGGGGCACTGGTGACATGTAGCGTTAAAAGCAGAATGTACCGTATATATTGTATTAAATAGGATTACTAATTATGTTCGATTGAACTCTTCATATGTAATGTGTTAAGAGAGTCAGTTGTTTAAAATGGCACCGAAAGGACGTTTCAACAAGATAGAAAGAAACAGGAATACACTATTATTCTTGTGGAAATATGCACTTCTTTTATCCTGAAAATTCCTTACAAAAGATAAAACAAACAAAGTATGCAGTTATTACATGCATATCTTTATCACATTTGAAATTGGAGTCCATGTCTGCATTGTTCTTCATGTTAACACAGATGATTAAACGCGGGAACTGTAGGGATTACTTTGAAGTCATTGTAGAAACGATGGCTTGTGGTTGGGGGTGAGAGGTATAAACTGTGGCTTTTCAGTTTCGTATTTACTGTATGTCTGTAATTGGCTGCCACGATTAATAGATTTTTTGCTGTAGAATAAAAAGTACTATGAAGTTACAAAAATGCTGACTGATCAATTTCGTGTAAAAAAATAGTCCTAATTACGTACAGTAATTACGTCCAGGATTTTCTCCAGTGAGGTAAGAAAGCAGTTTTAGATTTTAGAATTCGTTCCACCATAGCATTCCAGCTCGTCTCGGGCAGAAACGAAGCGTGGTAGCCCTGATCATTTTAGGGAAGTCTAAGAAGTACGAGTCATTTCAAAGGATGCATGCACTGTATGCACTGTAAAAAATAACAACACTTCCTCTGATAGTGAATGATTACTTTGCTTTAAAGCTAACCAGTGCAGTAGGCTGAAACAGAAAGATCTAAATATTCTAAATCTTCCATTCCTGATTATTTTAACCTCACCCCTCTACAATGAACCATGAAGAAAGTGGCTTTTTCCTATTTGTCTTTAATCCTGCATCTCTTGGTAGAGGCGAACTGCAAAGCAATGTATGGTCTCCTAGGGTGTCCAGTCTGTTGAAATATTCAACCTTAGGAAGCTGAGTTTAGCAGGACTGCTGTGTCCCAGACCTCATTGGGAATTGTTTACAAGGGTCACGGTGGTAGGGGAAATACTGTTTTACTGCTGCTAGTTCAATTTGTTGCTGAAGTGGGAAGAGAAGGTTAAAGTGCTCAAGGTGTACTTCATACAGATGTATTTACTCAGTCAACACTTTTTTAATTTACCACATTCATGTGTAGAATTTTAATAACTAGGTGTCAGAGTGATATCCCTATTTCTTTAATTGTATTATTAAAAAAATAAATGTGTATATTTTTGTTCAAACTTTGCTTCACTTGTAAGGCAAATTTGTATATCACTGCAAGAAAACTCTGCACACTCCATTAACTTTAGTAATAATCTTGATAAGTGGATTTCTTCCAGAAACATTTGTAGAACATCATAAATTATAGATGAGACATTTTTTGTTTAGAAAGGTAATCCACAGTTCTTTTCAATTGGCAAAGCATTCAGATGATTAAAACATAAATTACTGAACTCTGAAGTGGTATTAAAACCACATGAAAAATTAGATTTTAGTCCTTTTTGTCTTTTCCTCGATATTCAAATAATGATTGATTGTATTTTGAATGCCTACAGTATGTATTTCTGTTCCATTATTTAATTTTGTTTCTTCGTATAGAGTGCCTTGCATTCAGTATTCTCTCCTCTGCATGGCTTCTAAACTTTTTACTGTCAGCTTTGCAAACTTGACACATTCAAACAGGGCTTTATATTTATCAATGAAGACTAGATCATGCTGATTTTAAAATTAGAAAAACATTTTAACATATATTACATTAAATTGTAAAGGAAGATTCTGAGTTACATAAGTATTCTACACATTTGGTGCTGCAACCCTAAATCAGTTCAGGTGCACAAAAATAGTTTGAAAGGTCACAACATTGGTTTAATGGTGTCTGTCTGTGTGTAACCAAATTGGTATAACTTAACTTCAGAATAAATATGTTTGTCTCTGTAATTTCCCTATGATAGATATTACATTTCAAGCCACAGCCCACACTCATGACAAATTGAAAGTGGAGACAAAGACTAAGGAGCTTTTGAAACAAATTAGAGATAAAGTTGTAGAAGGACATATCAGGATCACATTCCTATTAGAGTGCTGTGATGTCTATCATTAAGAAGTGGAATGTGCATCAGAACTCCCAGACACTTCACAGATAAGGCCACCCTTCCAAAATGAGCAACTGGCCAAACAGGAGACCGGTTAGGGATGCCACTGTGAAGCCATCTGTTACTTTGAAAGATTTGCAGAGTTCTGTGTGTGAGTTGGAAGTCATTGAATCTAGAGTGTAATGACTGTTGCAAGCCCCAACACAGCGCATCACCCAGTCATCACCATGCCAACCGTCAGGCAATGGCGATGGCAGCTTCGTGGGATAGGGTGCTTGTCAATAGGGACTGGGAAGCCTGTCAGGGAAAAATGGAACGTGCAAAGTACAGTATAAATACATTTACACAAGAATCAAAAGCTGTGGTGCTTTAAGTACTCAGTGAGTTTAAATGTGACCACAACTGCTTATACTTATTATGAAACCTTGAACCCTTTGCAAATGAAAAGATACTTATCAAGTTTACCAATCTTCTTTCAAAAACAATTAGCAAGAGTACAGAGTGATGAGTGAGCAGCAGTTTGAAATAATTGTTGCAGCTCTCAATACGTAACGGGGGGATTGCATGTTCAAAAGGTAGGGACATGGCTCCAATAGCCTTAAGCAAGTTTAAGCAATTTATCCAGATTTTTCCAACATATTCAGCTGTATACATGGTCACAAAATGAGTGTATTGAAGATACAATTAACCTCTAAATCTGAAGAAATGCATTGCATATATCATTAGCTTTTTAAGCTGGAACCCTTTTACATTAAGGCAAGTAATAGGATTGTGCTACTGTACCTCCTGTATTTGGCTGAGATTAAATTAATACAGTTGTTCCCATTTGTATGTATCCAACAAAGATAATCATTGTAACCTGTCTGTATAAGAACAGTAGTGCCTGATGCTCTCTGGGGAGTGAGAATTTTTTTTAGCCCTTTTCAATTGTGAAAGAGTACCTTCCTATGAGGACGGACAGTTCACTTTTAAACAATTGCCTGTATAATCAACATGTAAATCTGTCTAAACAGTATTCACACCCTTCCTATAGTGTCCCATTTTGTTAAATCCCAAAATGATTAATATATATTTTTACTATACATACAGCTTAATATTTTACTCAAAACCTGAATGTTCAACATGAAGATTTCTAGGTTTCAGACAAATTACATTAATGTCTGTGAAAACTAAAGAGAAAAAAATAAAATATGTTAATTGCATAAGAATTCAGATATTGGAATTCAGTGTTTACTGAAGCACCTTTGGCAGCAATTAAAGTCTCTGGATAAGTCTCTACAAAGTTTTCACACCAGTTTGATACAGTTTTCACCCATTCTTCTCTGCAGATTCTTTCATCAAGCTCTCTGAAGTTGCCAGGGGCTTGCTTAAAAACAGCAGTTTCCATGTCTTTCACTTTCTTTTTCTTAAGCAACTACAGTGTATCTTTTGCCTTATGCTTTGGATCATTACCATACTGAAAAATGATTTTTCACTGTAGCCCTAAGTCCTTAGCAGACTGATACAGGTTTTCTTCTAATATTCTGCTGCAACAATACTGGACTGTATGGATGGTGCTGACTGGATGATTTGCTGTGTTGGTTTTACGCCAGATAAAATGTTTGTATTGACATAAAAAAGTTATTTTCACTCTGTATTTGTGCTTCTCCTTAGGAAGATGTTACTTCAAAGAGAATACTGTGTCTCTTGCAAAATGCTTGCATGAGGTTAAATTTATTCATGTTCAAAACATGGATTATAAAAGCATCCTATCCCATGCAGACTTCTATCTTGTTCAAGGAGCTCTTGTGTAAGAAACTGTTTTGACTGG